ACCGACCGCAAGCCGTCCTCCCACCGACCGCGAGCCGCTCTCCTTCTGACTGCGAGCCGCCCTCTTACCGACCGCAAGCCGTCCTCCCACCGACCGCGAGCCGCTCTCCTTCTGACTGCGAGCCGCCCTCTTACCGACCGCGAGCCGCCCTCTTACCGACCGCGAACCGCCCTCTTACAGACCGCGAGCCGCTCGTCTCCCCACCTTGAACCGCCAGCCCCTCGCCTCCCCCCCACATGCCACTTGCCTCCGCATGTTGCTTCCAGCTTCTCCATCGCTGAACACATTTCAAGGCAGCCTTACACGGGGCTGTAGGAGGCAGGGGGATGGGGGATGTGTATCCCAAGTACCAAATGCTCTCCTGTGCTGTTGTTTGTATACAATTAGGAAGTGTTTGTAAATGAGTGTTTTCAAATTAGTTTGTGTACCTCAGGATGGCCCCTGCCTTGAGCCCTGTGGATTCTGGGATAGGATCCAGGACTACTGTGCCTCTTGCCCTAGCAGGACGTGCCGATCTCCATAGTGGCTTGCCTAATTTGTTCCCACAAATGAAACAGAACCAAAATGAAATTGAAATTTGAGCTTAAACACTATAATTCACATGAACCCTGGAAGCCTGAATTAATCAGGAAACTTGCTACTTTCAGAGCCAAAACTGAGAGGCACGTCCAAGAATTATGCCAGGCATATACTTCATTTCCCATTGTTGTCTGTGGGGACTGTGTGTACCTGCAAGATCGCAGCATTGTGACCCTTGCGAATCCCCACTGTCAGAATGGGAGTGAGCAGACCACACTGGCACAACCAGTAAGGATGGAGAGAGGGAGAGAGAAGCTGGGTCTATAAGGATGGAGAGAGGGAGAGAGAGAAGCTGGGGCTATAAGGATGGAGAGAGGGAAAGAGTCTGGGTCTAAGACAGAGAGAGAGAGAGAGAGAGAGAGAGAGAGAGAGTCTAGTTCGAAGCTCCAGCTGTTGGACCCGTGACCCTTTCATATTAACACAACAGCCATGTACACACGACCCTGGGAGGGATAATCTTACAGGGGGGGCATGTTTTATGTCCAAAATGTTGATTTATGTTTAAAAATAAGTGATTCCTGCAAAGCCAACAGGCCGCTTGCCCCTTTGGTCGTTTACCGGCAGGGCTGCTTGTCCCTTTGGTCGTTTACCGGCAGGGCTGCTTGTCCCTTTGGTTGTTTACCGGCAGGGCTGCTTGTCCCTTTGGTCGTTTACCGGCAGGGCTGCTTGTCCCTTGGCAAGCACCGCGACACGCCCACCCCGATGCGGTGGCGGAGGCAGCAGCGCTCCCGCGGGTATGCTAACTTCACGCCATGTCCCAGGCCAACAGAGGATCAGAGGCGTCAGCCAGCTCTTTTCGGCACCACAGGGAATAGTGGCAAACTGACACATGGACACCGAAGGCCCACAGGGTCACTCACTACCCCCCAATGGAGCGGGACGAGGGTGGTGGTAGGAGGCAGATGACAGACGAAACGCTTCAGGGTGTGAGGATATGCAAAGGAGGGGATACACGCGGGCCCAGCACCCACGGAAACAATGCATTGTGGGCCGGGAGAGAGGAGAAAGCAGGCACGCGACGGGCAGCCATGTGAGGAGGACCCCGGATTTCACGCTATCAGCAGCATGACAATTCCCTGAAAGGCAGTGGGGGGGGGGGTCATACTGGTCCCCTGTCACATCCATGAGGATCCCCCACGCCATCGGATTTCCCCTGGCTGGCTTTGACCCCACCCACTGGGTCCCACCGCCCTGCGCCCCCTGCTGGCCGCTCCCTAAATCCCTTAATCCTTCCTTTCTTTTACGCTTTCCTGTGGATGATAATCCCCTCTGCTGTGTCAGCACCATGGGCAGGCAGAAACCTCGCAATAATTGTAGCATTATTCAGATCCAAACATAGGGCTCAGAACCTGATTCCCCTACAGCATACACTCAGAACTTCACATCCACCCAGAATTAGCTTGTTGTTCTCAGGAGGAAGGAACGTGAGATTGCTACTTACTGCCTAATCGCAGATCCATAATAGGGATCAGTAAAGACCAGCTTCTTTTAATCTGACATTAATTTGGTTCCCTCACTTAATTAAATAATTGTCTAAATGAAGGCAGATACCATGGAGGTGATGAAGTGAGTTTATGGACTTGCTGAGGTCACACGCTCATGCCTCCTGTCGCTCGTTGTTCCTGGAAAAATTTCTGGAGGAAATTTCTGCTCGCTGGGGAGAGCAGACGTCCCAGGGGCTCCTCCATCCTCTCCCAGTTTTAACAGACACCACATCCTCCTTCCTGATCTCCCACCCTGGTGTGCCATGGATGTGATCTCCAGCCACCCTCACTTAAAAGGCCGGAATGAATCAGCGCACAGCACAGTGACAGTAAAACCGGAAATTCAGCAGCATGATTAAAAAATGGTAATGAATGTTTTCATTCCCACTTGTTTGTGTTAATTGCACTGTACCATGACGACCGTGTGAGTCGCTTTGGATCACAGCCAGATGAATAGATGTAAAATCTAATTGTTTTTTGCAAATACATAATAATAAAAATGTGTGATTATTGACCGAGACGGGGAGTCAAATCTTCCTCAGATCCACCCCCCCCCCAAAAAAGAGGAGGAATCAGAGAGCACAGCCTGCCCTTATCAGACACGCAAAGCGCTGCTGGTCACTGCCATACACACGTGACTGATACATTTTGCACATTAATTAATAAGCCGTATTCAGCAGTAGCTGGGGGCTGGTGCTGACTCCATCAGCTTTGATGGCTCACACTCAAAGTACCATACTCACGGCCCACACTCAAAGCACCATACTCACGGCCCACACTCAAAGCACCATAGTCCATAGTCATAGTCCAGATTGTTTGCCAGACTTTGCCCCAGTACACTTTCTGGATTTCCTTGACCACCTCCTACCCCACCAAAACAACATTATCCTTTCCTACTTGCCTTCAAGCCCAGCTGTAATCCTTAAATAAAGACACAGTTCCGAGGCCAACCCCATGTCACATGACTTGATTTGCCCAGCTGACCTCAATCAGGAAGGGGCTGGATGGGATTCCTTGCAGGGTCTCTCACAGATTAAATGAGTGGCCCTTTGGGGATTAACATCCTGGGAACTCTATTTAAGAAAGGGGAATGATATCTTTACTTTAACCAGACTGCAGTACACACGCAAACAAAAAGAGAAAAATGTGAGAAAAGACGAACACCAAAAAGTCATGTTTGTTATGACTGTTTTTCATTTGATTTGTGGGCACTGGAGGTGACTCACAATGCAGACATATTCATTTAGGTGATTCATGAGCTTCCATTTTCCATAAGAAACCACATAAGAGAGAAGAGCTTTGAAAATCAACGCACAGACGGACACTTGTGTTCCCGAAGGAGTGTTACTTCAGCTGCATGCCCAGGGGACACCCCTGAATCGCCACGTCTCTCTGTGCATTAAACAACGTGCTGCATGGTGTAGCTGGCATGTGAGTCACGCTCTTGTTGGCATTTAGCAGAGAAAACAAACAGATATTACCCAGAATGCAGATGCGATAAGCTGCGAAATATTAAAGGACGATCTTGCGATAACAAACAGGGGCTCGTTAGCTGTGCTGGCATGTGCACCTGCATGAGGAAATGAGAGGGATGACCAGGGCTGCTGTGTGTGCGAGGGACAGAGACTGTGAGGGACCGTGAGGCAACCTGACTGACCATGAGGAGCCGTGTGATCGTGAATGACCATGTGGGACCGTGAGGGACAGTGTGATTGTCAATGTGTGATGATCTTAGGAGAGGTTTATAAATCACTGCTTTCTCTGTGTGTGTAGGTTGTGCATGCATGTCGCACGTATATGTCACATGTGTATGTTGTGTCTGCATGTTGCATGTGTATGTTGCATTAGTGTGTTGCACATGTGTGTTGCGCATGTGTGTGTTGCACATGTATATTGCGAGTGCATGTTATGCGTATGTGTTGCGCATGCAGTTCAGCATGCGGCTCTGGGCCCCAGGGCCCGCTACCTTGGCTCGGGTCCATGTGGCCCAGGCTTTCGATCTGCTCCACCAGGTCGTTGGAATTCCACTGGCTCATTCCGAGGAGGATGGCGCTCTTTCCCTCTGGGACATCTGCTCGGCCGGGGAGAGATGAGGACACATAAGGGATGCAGCAGGGCATGAATCAAACCGCATACCTCGCTCATCTCAGTGTGAGCAGCCTGCAAGGTCACGGGGCCGTGCATGGCGACCGCCAAACCGAGTCCTTTATCCGCGGATCAAAGATCGGCCCGGGGGCAACCCCACACAGCAGCCCTCGCCGCGTCAGGCCACCGCTGGGTAATATACCCAGGCTGTCACGATCTGCGCTGGGGGGGGGCGGCTGAGTGACACCACGGGGCTGCCTTCCCACTCGGTTCAGTCACGCCGACACGCTCACGGCAGAGCGAAACATGCACTATACCATGCATGCGCACACATGCATTGCCTGCTGCACCTGCGAAGCCCACACACTCTCTCACTCGTTAGGAAGAATTTAAAAACAAATAATGAAGTGATGAGTCATGAGGCAGGAAGAGGATCCACACGCAGGGCAGAGGGGAGCGGAGTCAGTCCCCCTCCGGGGTGGGGGATCTGTTTAAAGTGGAGAAGAAAAGTAGGGATGGGGTGAAGGCCTGCAGGGAAGGACAAGCACGCATGTGAGTGAACCACTCAGAGTGCCTCCTACAGGTTTGGAGCAAAATTGCGACCGGAGGCAGATGGATTACCCAGAGAGAGGGAGATGGAGGAATACAGAGACCAGGGGGTCAGAATGGGGACATGTTCCCAGGGTCACCATTGGCTGGTGTGTCAGCTGTCTTTTATGCTTATTTAAAGGCTCCATGCAGAATCTTCCAGAACCCTCTTTAATGAGCAGCTAATTCCACACAAGCTGGCTCTTCCCTCTTCCTTCTGCAGGCTCCCCAGGACTGGTGAAGACGGCCTGCCTTCCACCACACAAATGAAGGATAGCACACGTCATACTTCCCCGAGACAAATACCTGCTAGCAATGATGTCATTCCTTACCGCTGTCTTAAGACTGGCTTATTTTACCCACATCCTGTCCTGCACATAATTAGATCAATGGCAAAATGTTTCTCTCTTTTTTGAATCATCTCGCTGATCTCGTTCAGCATAAAACGGAGCTGCGATCGATGATCGCCACGTGACTGTGACAGCACGTTAAGCTAACGGGCAATCGATACATAAAGCAGGGCCGGCGTCACGCTGCATCTCTGTAACACACACGGCCGATTGCTGACTCAAGGCCATTTTGGATTTAAAGGTTAAGCACCGACTTATGACAGCCAGCTGGGGGCAGCACTGCGCAGGATCGGCGAGTGGAAGCGGGAACATGCATACCTGACCTGTCCCACACCTGCGGCCTTCTCAGGCGTGACGGACAGCCTCCCCCCCCCCACAGGCACAATGCTGCCGTTATCACACAGCAATGGTGCGTAATTAGGAAAAACACACAGAAAGGAGCCAATGCGCTTATTTAAATAGACTCCAGTCTCCATGTCCCCCCCAGTAGCTGCCGATTATGTACAGTTTCACAAGATCCACTGAGTCCCATATTATATTTATTTCTACAAGGAAAATGATCCTTCCACTTCTGGAAGGGAATCGTGAGGGTAAGCGCCGGGTGGATGAATATAATTAAAACCCCCCGTAACGTTTATTCAGGGTAACAGGGTAACATAAACACTGTGGGTCAGCCTGCTGCCCAGTTCCCTTAACTGGAAACGGGCCGGCTGGGCTGTCTGCCCCCCGCCGCTGGTGCATTCCCTTCTCCCCCCCCCCGCCATGGCAGGGAGCCATTGAACTTATAAGCTCCCCCCCCATAAGCAGGCAGTGGGGACACAAGCCCGGTGCTGTAATCTATCTGCGTGCTGCGGAGTGCCAGATTGGCACAGCGGTGAGCCCTCTGCCGTTACCGCAGTAATACGCGGCAATCGCAGATATCCTGTTTCAGGGCTGACGGAGCCGATTCACATGGAGATACGGAGGCTGGACACTGAGAAACCAAGACCCGCTCCGGTCCAGTACGCTCCGCAACACAGAGCCAAACAGCCGGAACCCAGATCCAGCCCGACATCAACGAGACCAGAGAAGAACTGCGTCTGGAAAAATCCTGACAGGCAATCAGACCGATCTGCCTCAGGAGTCATGGGAAGCGGAATCGAGCTCCTCCATGCATTACGGGCACGCAAGCGGGCAGCATGTGGCCGCTTCAATCGCACAAGTCCCCCCCAGTCTGCTTCCAGCTCCAGGAAACATAAAAGCACTTGAATAGCATTCAAGAGGCAGAGGCAGAGTGCTGGGATATGCTGACAGGCGGCAAACAGCACAGTGAGCTTACACAGGCACACAAAAATGTACATTGAGGAGTAGAAAGATAAATGAGGGGGAGAGAATCGCTGCAGGCGGCCAGACCTCCGCAAGAGAGGCAGTGGGGCCTCGATCTGGGGCTCATGCCTCCTCTCAGAAGCCCTAGCGGCCTGGGTCAGGTGCTTGGGGTAGAGCGGGCTGTCAGGGTGCCTCTCCAGGATGTCCCACAAACACGAGCGAATCCCAAAGCACCCGGGCAGAAGATGAACACCCAGGTCATGGCAGGTCAGGGACGGCCCCTTGGAAACACCCTCAGCTGGGTCTCGAACACCCTGCCAACTGCCCTGGTCACCCTCCAAAATCAGGACACCCTGTGGCCACACCCACACAGAAAAAATGATGCTATGAGGACTTCTACAAACAAAGAGGTATTGGAGGTTTTTGTTACAAACTGATAAAGTCTGTGTCTGGTTGTGTGTGCGCACACTTATCTACACGCATTTTTAATGTGGACTCGCTAACTGAGCCCAGGAGGAAAACAATTAAATAACGCTGGATAAAAAAGCCAGCAATTTAATGTTTGAGATGACTGGTAATAACAGCATCCGCAAATGTAATGGAGGAGGGGTAATTGGAGGGGGCAACACCAGCCCTGGGGGCCCAAGAAGGATGATCGTATTTCCCAGGTCGTCCGGCGTTTAGTAAAATCCAGCTTATGAAAGCCGTGTGACCGAGCTCTGAAAGATGTAAACGGGTTAGGGTGAATATTCTGGTGAAGTCGTCGGCTGGCTAAGGGGCGTGGTCTCCATTCAGGAAACAGCCACTCAGCTGCTTCCAGTCTCTCACATTGTCTTCCTATTGGCTAGTTTAGAAACAGCCTCACCAGCAGCTGCCAAATGACCCATGCTCTCAGAGAACTACAGAAATGCACCCCCCCCACCCCCACCAAAGAATGAAGTATACATAAAAATAGCTTTAAAAAGCGAGAACATGTTCTTCAAGGAACATGTTATTTTAAAAATATATTACTTCATATTTCTACTTAAACAGTTATCAGATAACGATATAACACTGCTAGGTTATTTCTCAGGAGAGGCCCTTTAAGGTCCTTAACCTGAATTACTCTAGAATGTTCTAGGTATACTGTATATTTTACCAGAAGAGCAACTTATCTAAAAATATACCAACAGTCTGCAAACCTGAGGACAAAGTGGACCTGTGAACGTGCCCCGCGGTGTGGCATGGGGGCGGCCGGTCGCAGGGCCCAGCGGCCGGTAAACGTGCCCCGCGGTGTGGCATGGGGGCGGCCGGTCGCAGGGCCCAGCGGCCGGTAAACGTGCCCCGTGGTGTGGCATGGGGGCGGCCGGTCCCACGGCCCCATGGCTGGTAAACGTGCCCCGCGGTGTGGCATGGGGGCGGCCGGTCCCACGGCCCCATGGCTGGTAAAAGTGCCCCGCGGTGTGGCATGGGGGCGGCCGGTCCCACGGCCCCATGGCTGGTAAACGTGCCCCGCGGTGTGGCATGGGGGCGGCCGGTCGCAGGGCCCAGCGGCTGGTAAACGTGCCCCGCGGTGTGGCATGGGGGCGGCCGGTCCCACGGCCCCATGGCTGGTAAACGTGCCCCACGATTTCGCATGGAGGCAGCCGGTCCCATGGCATTCAGCACTAAGAGTGACTGCGCCCCCTGCAGGGATTAAAGACCCGCATGTTCGGCCGGTGTGCCTTTCTGGCTAAAATGTTTATGTCAGCATGACACGGCATTCGCTCAGCAGCGGGGGGGACATCAATCACAGAGAGATAAGTGAAAGCCCATGCGGCTCTGCTCAGAGTGGGGGTGGCCGCTCGCCAAAGTGCTCTGCCCCCCTTCCTTGCTGATGTTGGCCTGTGTCTAATGCTGCTCAGCCTGGCTCTATGCCCCCCCCCCCCCCGCCCCTGGAAGGACATGAAGGAATGCTAAAGCTACATGACAACAAGAGATTATCCAGATGTTGGAGAATAACAGCACATTCAGGAAGGCAGTAGAATGGCAGCAGCAATAAACAGGGTAAATACCCAGCAAATTCCCGGTAAATAAGGTGCTTTTCTGCTCCTGATTGAGGTTATTATTGCCAGAGAGCCGCGTCTCCCTACCTGTCATCTCCTATCCAGGTGAGTTTAGAGGATTTGTGTACAGTGTGAGTAGCCTGGAAGGCCATTAGCAATTAGCAGAGCTGTGATTGTCGTTTAGTGTGCCACTCTCCCTCCCAGATAAACCCCCCACCCCCCTAGTATTCACACGGGACACCGAGCCCCTTGAGCCATGCACAGGGTGACCCCCATCCTTGGCTCTCTATTAATTTTCTCGGTCAGCCCGGAATCAAGATCTCACAGTGGGAACCGGGAACAAGAGCCCAAGTCTGCTACACGGTCTGTCTACTGTAACAGCACCTCCTTCGATGGAACCACAGTACAGCAGTGATCTTTCAGGAGAGAAGGGCGGAGGTTAGACACAGGCTTCCTTGGGGGCTCTGAGAGACCCTATGTGGATGGGGTGGGGCTGCACTCACTTAAATTTCGGCAAGCTTAGCCGAGCTCTGGTGCTGGCCATCAGGTATCAAACAAAATGACAACAAAACCTACACATTCAAAACCGACAATTTAATAATTCAGACTGGGTTCTCTGTTGTGCGCCGTTACATATTACGCCGGGCTATTAGTGTATGTCATGTTTCGCATCTATAAGGGAACACAAGTGCCTTTGGAAGCTAAAAGCTAACATTTAC